ATGAAAAGAACCTCGTAATTATCCAAAGTGAAGTCATGCTTTGCACAAACATCAGACACTGGTCTGACTCTCACCCACCACTTCATCCAGCTCCCTGGTGGGAGAACTGGGAACTTCCTCCACGTAATTTGCAGGAAACCACAGCTGCTTCTTCCCACCGTAGTCTCCTCGCCACCTGGCAATGAACCAGCAGTTAAATTGGAATGTGTCAGTTAATCCTCAGACAGTCATGTGATCAGACTCTCACTCACCAGCCGCCCTCCTGCTTGTCCACGTTAAGGATGAGCGCCTGTTTGGGGAAACACAGTTCGTCTTCCCTCTGAGCCCGATAGTCATACAGAGCTTTGACTGTGCACTGAAAAACAGCAGCAGCAAAGAGCAGTGAGTGCGGATCCAAAACTCTGTGGTTACAGACTCTGTAGTTCAGGTACGGCCAGTGAAAAAATGATCTCTGTACATAATTTTTTCATATACTTTAACGTTTCATTAAAAAACGAAATTGGAATTATTCTTTATTAAACCTCGTATAGGAATGCATTTTACATGTATATACAGTATATATATAATTTAATTTTGGCGTTTAAAAGAGCATCCCAAATATTGAGCAGTGCTGCCACCCAGTGGTATTAGGTAGTATAGACGCTGTCTCTCCAATGAAGCTGTTTTGATTAAGGTACAATGCAAATGTACGAAGGAATTCTGTACCTGTAAACTCGTAAATATTTCAGCAAAGTATCTCCTCTGCTATTATGTTCAGGACCCGACACGAGAGGGAGCCAATGTTAGTACTACAGCTTTATTTGAGATTTTATTGATGTTTTAAATGTGTTACCAAGGAGAAAAAAAACAATCTAAAATGTGATTGTATTTTTTATTGCTAAGTTAAATTAAATTTTATGGAAATGATTCATGTCATGCACCTACTGTACAGGTGTGGTTTTCACTCACCCGTGCCATGGGCATCTTGTTAGCCTCTACATAGAAATGAGGAGTGCGGACTTCATACAGTGCTCCGTAGTCCAGCTCCTGACAAAAAGAATAGAATAATTAAACTGAATTAAACAGAGGGATTCGCTGTAAGTCATTTTCAAATGAAAGTAAATGTTTTTAAAACTTTAATGTTTTTTCTTTTCTTGTATCCATGACTGACCGCAGTGCCCATCCGGTCCAGAGTGTCTTCGTTGATGGGGTACCGAAGCCTCATCTTCCGGTACAGAGGATGTTTCTCATAATAACTGACCAGATCCACCAGACTCTCGAACTCTGCTGAGCT